CAGAAAGGACAATGATATCAATGCACTCATGTGAACTCAAGACACTCTGATGTATTTCCCGTGTAGTCTGAATCTTAATCCACGACAAAGCTGCCCATTCGCCAGAAAATAAGCTCTCTATGGAACAACTCGAAGAATAGCATACTTCTAAATGGTATATGTGAAATCATACCACTAGAAGGACCAATCCAGTTGGAGGTCTTCTCACGGAGCGTTCATGAAACGATCAACGATAATGGAGGGCATTCTGCTGTAGAGCTTGGGTTCGAAAGAATGGAATGAAAAGAAATGAGATAGAGATAAGCAGAAGAGATAAGAGGAGATAATTCTCTCTACAAAAGGAGAGAATTGTTTACGGAGATCGCGGTTTCAACTTGCCAATTCCCACTCGTTTGAGAGTAGGGTCGAACTGGAAATAGTTATCGATCAGTATACGATCGGGAAAGATCCATTCGTTCTTGCGATTCTTCTTGATAATAAGACTACAAATAACAGGGTTATAGGTCATTCTCTTAGCGTAGTGCATGTATGTCATCGAGAATGGGATCATGCCTTGAGGGCCCAAGTAAAACCGCAACGGTGGCAATTTGGTCTTGTATTGGCAGGGAAAGAACCATCTCTTCTTTACTGGATCGTACACGAAATCGACATGCACACCTGCAGCCTTGTAAGTTTGGGCTCTAATATCCTCGATGAGACTGTTGTAGTATAGTCCTGGGACAAGTAGAATGTTGCTGCCGGTGTCGAGTAGTACGTTCATATTCATACCAAGAGTTATGTGTCCATCACCGACTTGTAGCTTATCGATATTTACGGTGTAACGTCCGTGTGTAGAGAAGTCGATATACTTCAATGCACCCTCATATAATCCAGGATCGCCTCCACCCAGGAGTAGGCCTCCATCAGCGGTATCCTCATTGGGATCAGCGGGAGGATACAAGTAGAGGGCGATAATACCGGTCGATATAGTTCGTGATGATCGCAATTGCGTCATCATGGACGGGAAGTTCACAAAACCTTTATCATAGCCAAGACCCATCAAATTTACCGGAGATTCATGGGATCGATGGGAGAGTGTGTTGAAATATCAGTCCGAAAGTGAGG